TTTTTTTTTTTTTTTTTTTTTTTTTTTTCTTGCAAAGTCATGATAGTGTGTGCTGGGAAGCAGAGAGCTGCTGGATCCAGCTCCCAGGGCGAGCATGTGCCGCTGCACCGAGGGGCAGAATCCCCCGCGCCCGGGAGTTAACGCCCGAGTAGAAGCTGCGGGCTGAAGGGGATGGAGGGGGGAAAGGCCCGGCGGGGCTGAGAGCCGAAAGACCCCGCTCCGCAAGGGCTGAACCGCCGCTGCCGCGGAGGGTGCCGGAATACTTCAGAGCCTTCACACGAGGGTCTTGTTGTTGTGAGATTTGTCACGTCCTGGAGAACACACCCTGCCCTTGGTCGCAGTTCCCCTGCGGGGTGTGTGGCCATGGGGGGAGCTGGAAGGGGCTGGGAGCAGGTTGGTTTTGTCAGTCCGAGCGGTGTTGAGTTCTGCCCTTCTGGCTAAAAGTTAATTAGTGCGACCCCCTCCCGTAAGGGGGACCCCGCTTTCTAGCATCGCGAGCGGCCGGAGCGGGTTCTGACGTGGTTGTATGCCTTTGTTGGGTTCGTGCCCCACAGCAGCGCTGTGATAGATAATTTCGTAGCAGCTGATCCCGCGCGTTACAGATAAGCTCCGTTAAGGGACACGAGAAGCGAGGTGCCCCTTGCGCCCAGCTCTCGTGTTCGGTGCTAGCTGCTGGGCAGAAACAAACCTGAGGTGTGAGTTTCTTATTAATATTGATTAGGTAGTTGAACTGTAGCAAATTGAAACGCATTTCGCGTGCCGTACGGCGGGGATTGCAGCGTGGGAGTTCAGCAGGTAAGGCCTAGGTTGTGGTGAACTATCCTACTGAAAAATGATTTATTTTTTTTTTTTAGCTCAACTTCGAGAGATGGGCTGTTAGCTTATATAAAGAAATAAGGCTCGTTAGTTGTTGCTATTCATGAAGAAATTGCTATTTCACGTGGGGTGGATTAGCATGGAAGCTATTCAGGCTTGCTGGGAATTATTTTGCAGTAAGACAGAGTGATTTCAGTTTTGCCTTGCCCTGCCCTGCCTGCCTTAGATCTGCCCAAACTTGCTTTGGAAGTTGAGTCTTGTGTAGCAAGACTCAGGAGGAGCAAATAACCTTGAGCAGGAAATGCTGGAGGAGGAAGGGGAGCCTGGTGTACTAGCAGTATTTACTACTTCAATCTCTTTTCTGTCAACCGAATTGCAGAAATAGTCAGATGTCACTTGTTCAGTACGCCACAGTGCCGAACCTCGTACTTTGTAAGGTGGAGTTCAGTACCTAAACATTATATGTAGTGTTTTCCAGGACTTGCAGCCGATGTCCTGCATTCACCAAAGGCGCAGATTGTCTCGGGTTCTGGACGAACTTCTGTCACGCTGGCAGGGCAAAACATCTTCGATGCTGGCAGGTCGTGCAACCTTTGTTGTTGATGTGGTGGAGCATCGTGAAGTGAAATGGTTTCAGCTGGGCTGAGTTTCTTTTACCGTGTCACAGCTCTTAGCAGGTTACTAAACAGTCTTGAAGTAACAGGCAAAAAACGGGAATGTTTTCACATCACAATGAAATTACCAGGATTGAAAAATATTTCGCGCACAGCAGGAGCTATTTGATATCTGTTGTTTCTTCAGCCCCAGCAGACTGTTGGGTATCTGAATTTCCAGAGCTGTCTCCTTTACACAGCTGTGTGCAGGCAGCTGTTGTCTCAAGGATGGCGCGTGGCAGTCACAAACCAGGTCGCTGGAGAACGGTGGGCACGGTTCTGTTTGTGAGAAACCGATAAAGTCATCTTGCAGACAGCGTTCTGTGCCAGCTGAAGCTGCGGCCGCTGGCGCTGCTCTGACGCTGCTTCTGTGGTGTGTCACCAGATACAAACTGTGGCCAACGGCTGCTGCAGCTCTTGTCCCCAGCGCGGGCGTGGGGTGTTGTGTGGCCCGGTCAGAGGATGCAACTGGTGTCCCTCCGTGCTGACAGTAAAGGGGAGAGGTGTTTGGAGGGGAGCGCTGTGTCCTGTAGGTCTGTTAGGGGTACAACAGTTTCTCCTTTCAAGACAGGCTGTGTTAATAATACCAGTTTCTGAGGAGAGTAATAGTGTGTGCATCTCGCTCTACTCATTTTTTTTTTTTCTTTACCACGCTGCAAGTTTTCTTGAGAGCCTGTCTGAAAGCTGCTGCAGTACCGGGTGTATTGAACTACCTGCTTTACATCTCCGGTATTCTCAAATGTCCGCCAGAAGCTTAAGGTGAAGACGAAAGTTGTTTGCACTGTTGTTTGCTGTACTTGTGTGACTTCAGAATAATTAGTTTTTAAAAACGGGTAGATGGGAGTGAATGAGGCATTCCTCTTCACAGAGGTGTGTTTCAGTAGCAATCACCAGCAACCAGATTAGTTTCATTTTTGGGGAGGATTATAAAGATGGGGAAGCTGCCGATCCCTTTTCCGTCCAGGGTAAGAACTGCTGTCGTGCAGTTGACTTCCTGCAGATTGACAGGAAAATCCTGGGGATTTTCATGGTCCTTGACAAAGCAGCGGTACTTGCTAACCTGCTGTGGTTTGGTTCCAGATCGACGTGCCTCTTGCTTTCCTTATTTCTGGTGTTCTGCAGTAGAGACTGATAAAACAGACACGTGGGCAGCGGCCGATTGATGGGATATTATCAAGTAGTCATGGGACCAGTATCTTTAGAAGTGCAGATGCAGGCAGTGGTAATCTTCAGAGCCTTGTTCTGTTTTGGCCTGAAGTTCTCAGTGACAGTCGGTTTACAGAAAACTGGAATGCACAGCAGTGTGCAACTTCACAGTTACTCAGTGCTTCCCAGTCTCAGTTTAGTGGCTGTGACACTCATCAGGAGATGCCCCAGTTGTGTGTGTTAGGTGGTAACTTCTCTTTCCGAGTATGTTTGAAGCTCAGACTGTCTTTTTTGGGTTTTTTTTGTTTTTTTTTTTTTTGTTTTTTTGGTTTTTTTCCCCCAGTGGCATCACAAATAGTGTACTGTTGTTTTGCAGCAGTCTGACCTTTCCTCCTGTTTTGTTGCTCCTGTTCACTGCACAGGTGGATTATATGCTTGTGTATTAGCACATGACTGTGTGGGAGTCATATTTGCTCTCTGAGTATTAACTGGTTTTTTTGATTTCTTTATTTGAATTGTCTGTAGCTCCAGCAAAGGTTACCAGTAATTTAACTGCTGTTTTGATATTTGTAGTTTACCAGAAAAAGTAGATTATTTCCAGGATGCTTTTGTCCCTTTTGCTGACTGGGCTTTTGGAGTTCACTCCCACCTGTGGGCCAGGGGAGAAAAGGACAGCCCTAGCTCAGAGGCTGAAAGCTGTCAGGGTGCTTGGCCCATCCCTGATGCTGAGAACACCACCTTTAGGTTAAAAAAAAAAAAAAAAAAAAAGGAGAGAGACTGAGTGAAACAGTGAGAGAAATCACTTTACTTGTAGCATATGAGACACCCCAGAGGCTGTTCAGTGTCGGCTGTTCAGTGTGCTCATAACAAGTGACACAGAAATAGAAACTTGTTTTGCAGTTTGGCAAGGCAAAGGCCTCGGAACGCAGGTGAAGTCAAGCGGGCTGTTCACAGGGGGCACCCCGAGTGGGTCCCCTCTTCCTTCCCAAAACCTGCTCGCGAGCAGAAGAAGCGCTTGGACTTTCTGTCCAGAAATGTGAAGCCCGTGGGTGGACGCCTTGAAGTGGAAAACGTCAACTGTTTATAAAAACTGTTACGGTTTGATAAACTATGAGCGGCTCTCAAGTCCAGCCTTACAGGGGCAGGCGTCTCCCGAGGCAGTTCTGCAGATCCGCGCGTGCGGTTTTACGGCTGCGACTCCTGGCTGCTATCAGCAGCTCAGCCTAGTCGCTGCTTGCGGCTGCGTTTGCAGGCAGCGTCGAGGTTAATGCTGCTTTTTTGTGAGCCCTTAAGTTCTGGGACAAAAAATAAAATCGTTGTGAGAAGTTGTTATTTGTTTCTCAAAGAACTTTGGCAGTAACATCAGTGATTCTTCTTCTAATAATTTCTCTGAGACTGTCCCAGTTAAAACCATCTAAATTAGCACGTCCTTCCAGTTCCTTCATCTCATCTTTGGCTGCATGAGCTGTAACCACTGATGAGGGTGGCTGGGTGGTTTTTTTATGGGGTTTTTGAATTCTTTGGGTCAGGGTTTTTTTTTTTTGAGAGAGAGCTTTATGCACACAGTTATCTGTGTTTGCTAGGAATGGCCTTTAAACCATCAGGTGTAAGAAGATTGCAATTTTTTATGCGTAAAGACTTGTGACAGCATCTCTCCATCTCCGCTCGGGTTTTGGTTGTGAGGTTACAACTCCAGACGAAAGCACTTAATTACAGATGCAGGGAGCAGTGATGGCTGTCAATGCACCTGGTTATCAGGCTTTCCCCACACACGGAAAAAAAACCCAACAAATGTAAAACCTGTGCCTAATTAGGGAGCTAATCTGTATTCTTCAGAGGGGATCATCTGCTCCGCGGAGCGGTGAACCACAGACCTTTGAAACGCTGAAAGGGGAGAGATTACGGCACTGCAATGTACGTTATTTGTAGTTTCTCACGCGTGGGCTGAATGGTTTTGTGGAGCAAGGCTCCTCTCGAATCGCTACGGGCTCGCAGCTCCCTGGGCAGCCCTGACACCTGTCCATTACCAATGCATCTGCATCAAACCCCTTTTTCTTCCCAATTTAGCTAGTATGGCTGTTAATTCTGGTGGGGAAGAAGACATAAAGCAGTTCATCATTAATTCCATGGAAACATTATCTGATCTGCATGATTCGACCCCTTCCCTTGTCAGTGTTAATGCAGTTGATGTATTTTTTTTCTCCCGTAGTTTTCAGCTGGATTAGCTCCTTGAACTTGATTTGGATGGGGTGGTACTCTTTGTTTATCTAACTGGTAACTAAGATGTTTTCTAATTATGAAGGTAGAACTGGTGTTACATCGAGGCACAATAGTATTTTATGCAGGTTTTTGTCCCTGATGCGCTATGAAAGCCTATTATTGTTTCAGGTTTTCTCTCTTTAAAACAGCATTTTTGGATTGTGGCCCAAAGAAATATTCTTCTGAACTGAAATATTTGAGGAATTTTTTTCTCAATGAGGAATTCAACTGTTGAGTGAAGTCTCCAGACTTACTTCTCATATCTGCCTTATCTGGGTGTTGATACTCCTTGGGTTTATCGTTATTTTAAAAATGAGTAATATTACTATTAGTTAACACTTTTTAGTAGAAAAGGCCAATGTTTGGAGCTTGGTGCTGCTTACACGTAGATGAGGGAGGGCATTTGTTTTAACAGGCCCGAGACATCCACACCCTTGTACTTGGGTAGTGCTGCCTTATGTGGGCACGCTCTCGGACGAGGTAGTAAGTGCCGAAATCTGGTTGTTGATTCACCAGACAGTTGGAAGGGGGGTTGTCTTCACCCCTCCGAGCTTGTGTCGCCTGAGCTGAGCAGGGGCCGTGTCTCCCCAAGCACCAGCCGCGGGCACCGGGGGGGTGCGGGAGGTCTGTAACACTGTGCTCCTGCTTCAGCTCTGAGCGTGAGCTGAGAATGTCATCGGCTCCTCTGCGGGTGTCCCTGACGTGCTGACGTACCGAGGGGTTAATGAGATTGGCAATTAGGAAACCTTGCATTTCGAAAGAGCGGTGGGCTGGGGGTTAATGTGCACACATGGAAGGGGCATGGCAGCGTCTACCGCTGGGTGTGAGTGAGTCTGTGACCTGCTCTCCCCTTCCTTGGGGCTGTCAGAACCTGCTCCCTAACTGCTGGAATTCACCTGTTCCACGTTGGCTCTTTCAGTGAGAGCTGTGTAACCCGCTGGCTGCCCAAGATGGTGAAGCTGGACATACACACGCTGGCGCACCACCTCAAGCAGGAACGGCTGTATGTCAACTCGGAGAAGCAGCTTATCCAGAGGCTCAATGCAGATGTGTTGAAGACGGCTGAGAAGCTGTACCGCACGGCGTGGATTTCCAAGCAGCAGAGGATTAACTTGGACAGACTGATCATAACAAGGTGAGGAGGACCTCAACTTCTAAACTTCCGTGAATGGCGGCAGATCCATCAGATTTTTCACACTTAGTGCCTGGAGCCCTTTGCTGTTCTGATTGTTAAAATGGTTGAGTTTTAAAGCGAATCTCAACCAGGGAATCTGACTCACCTGAACCTTGCTTGCTGGCTGTCTAAACTACCTTTATTTAATCTATGTGTTTTGCTTCCGTTCGTAGTTCACGGGAACAAACTCCCCTTATTGCTGAACTTGCAGCACATTTGTATTAATTGTACTGGAAGCCTTTTTTTCCCTGGTGGTATTGTTAATAGATTGAGCACGTGGCATCTTTTATGAAGTTTGTTTGCTTAAGAGTTACTTAAACTGTTTCAATGTTTTTCCTTAAAGTGCCGAAGCCTCTCCTGCTGAATGCTGCCAGCATGCTAAAATCCTGGAGGACACACAGTTTGTGGACGGGTATAAGCAGCTGGGATTTCAGGAGACGGCTTACGGAGAATTCCTAAACAGGCTGAGAGAGAACCCGAGGCTTATTGCGTCCTGCCTGGTTGCCGGAGAGAAGCTCAACCAGGACAACACCCAGAGCGTCATCCACACGGTCTTCACCTCGATTTATGGCAACTGCATCATGCAGGAGGATGAGAGCTACCTCCTGCAGGTCCTCCGCTACCTGATTGAGTTTGAACTCAAGGAGAGCGACAACCCTCGGCGGCTGTTGAGACGGGGCACCTGTGCCTTCAGCATCTTATTCAAACTGTTCTCTGAAGGACTCTTTTCTGCAAAACTCTTTCTCACTGCAACTTTACATGAGCCAATCATGCAGCTTCTGGTTGAAGATGAAGACCACCTGGAAACTGATCCAAACAAGTTAATCGAGAGATTCTCCCCGGTACAACAGGAAAAGTTATTTGGAGAGAAAGGCACAGAAAAGTTCAAGCAGAGAGTCCAAGAGATGGTTGACTCCAATGAGGCCAAGCTGGTGACCTTGGTGAACAAATTCATTGGCTATCTCAAACAAAACACATACTGTTTTCCTCACAGCTTGAGATGGATTGTGTCACAAATGTACAAAACGCTCTCGTGTGTAGACAGGCTGGAGGTTGGGGAGGTCAGAGCAATGTGCACAGATCTTCTCCTAGCGTGTTTCATCTGCCCTGCAATTGTTAACCCAGAACAGTACGGGATAATTTCCGATGCTCCTATAAATGAGGTGGCAAGATTTAATCTGATGCAGGTAGGATTCACTTTAGTCTTTAAAAAAAAAAAAAAAAAAGTATGAATGTTCTTGGCCTTTTTTTTTTCCACTAGAACTGATGTTACTACAGTAAAGGTACTGTCCCTCCTACCTAGAAGATAAATGCTAACAAAATATTTCTGTTAATTGCAGAAAAGGTGTGCTCCAAACTTTATCTGTTTACTTAACATACTGACTTAAAAATATGACAGCATGTATTCCTTTATCTCTTAGGAGAGTTGCAAATGTACTTTATAAAAGCTCTGATAAGGGATGGAAGCCAAAGGGTAAAACTGACTATAAGGTGAATTCTGGAATGTGGCTAAAGGAGTGATGTGCAGTTCTTGATAATGTCAAATATTATTCTGGCTATTGCACAAAATAATATTTTGCTGAAAAAAGCTTCTTGTCTGGCAGTACCGACCAGTTTTCTGGTGGGTAGCTGTCTCCTGTTTCATGAGACTTTGGAGTATTCCCCAGCCCTCATGACAAATTTTTGTCTGTGTGGAAATACTTGGGCAACTTACTGATGGTGTGTCGAGGTGTAGTCTGAAGGTACGGAGCGCTGCGCGTCCGACTCGGGGTATTCCCCACGCAAGGGACAAAACCCACTGTTTGATGTAGCCTGTAAACTGGGCAGGGAGCGATTCTCTCAGAGTCATCGCTGGGTGGGTTTTACTCACTGGGCTGTTACTGACGGGGCCTGGCCAGGGCTTTTCTAAAAGGCACCAGCAGTCCTCTCCCGTGGCACCGCTTGGGTGGTGTCGCAGAGCTTGCAGGGGGCGACTCCTGAACCTCCAGCTGCAAAACAACTCTCAGTTTTAATAAGGAATTTGTGCTCTGAAACAAGGGTTAGCCCTCTTGCGATTTTTTTTTTCCCTTCAGTTTATTCTCAGTAAAATATATACATTTAAGATGACCTGGATTCAACTCTCAATTCTGACGTGTTGTAAAAACAAAACATGCTTTGTTCCCGGGTCGGGGGGAAGTATGGATGCTCGCAGCATACTGCGTGTGCAGATTTTCTTGTTAAACGCAATGACTGCTTTTTTTCTAAAGCTCCTTATATTTTTTTTCTGCCGTGAAAGCAAGTGCAAGGCTCTGTCCACTCAGAAGTATTTCTCAGAGTATTAAATTGGAAAAAAAAAAAAAAATCAGAACGGAGGAGTTTTTTTATAATCGGATCCACCATGCTGTTTTGAAATGCTTATTCTTCATCCTGCTTCTTCATTTCAGGTTGGGAGGCTTCTGCAGCAATTAGCAATGACAGGTTCTGAAGAGGGAGATCCACGTTTGAAGAGCAACCTTGCTAAATTTGACAAAGTAAGAATCCAGACACAAAAAGTTAAGACTTACATGTTTGCTTCATCCTTCTGCAGCCTTTTTTTTTCAGATGTTGCAAAGGACTTAGTAAGCATTTAACTTCCAAGTTATGTGTACCGAAAAGCAGATTAAATTCTACAGAAAGCTGTGAACAAAATCTTGAGTACCAGAACAAGGGGTTGGGGTTCTTGCTTGTACTCTGACATAATACTTCTTAAAAGAAAATGCAAAAGAGGAATAAAAGCAAGTTACCTTTTAAACTGAGATGCTGAAGTGCCGTCTGTGGATTTTCTGCTGAACCTAGAGAAAACACTTTGATCTGAAGATAACTTTTTGTATGGAATCTGGTTTAACACCAAGTAATTTGTCAGCGCAAGTAGCTTCTGTTCCTTTTTCCCGTAGTTTTGCTTTTCTGTTCAGCTTTTCCTTTGTTAGCATGAATCATCCGTAGCAATACGGAGGTTGGCTTCCTTGGAAGAACAGTGCCACTAATGAACTTTGTATTGTCATATGCTTAAAAAACTCTTGATTTGCTGGGTAACTTCCAGGTTTTTGCTAATTATAATTGTTACACAGTCAGCATCCAAAGTTGCATATTTATTATGCAAGTAATATTCAATCAGATTAGAAAGTGATATTGTGTGTTGCTTCCTTATTTCACTTTTAGTCTATGCTCAGCGCATTCTTCAGGAAGGGGCAGTTTAATGGCTGTAAAACAGTTTAAATTTTTTTTTTAATATAAGGACACACTTAAGTAACACTTGATTGCAGAAAAGGAATGAAGGAAACACCAAAACTAACTGCAGGCTTTCCTTGCTTGCTCTTCAGTGATTTTAATGATACGTGGTATTTTATCCTACGATTTTGAAAGTAGGAAGGAGAACTTACATCGTTATGTAAACTACTAAACTCTTGTTGTAACTTATGTTCTTTCCAAACTCTAGCAAATGGTGTCTCATTTAAAATATTTCTTCTCTTTGCAGAGCTGTGTCGCTGCTTTCCTGGATGTAGTTATTGATGGGCGTGCGGTTGAAACTCCTCCGATGTCTTCTGTCAACCTTCTGGAGGGGTTGAGTAGAACCGTGGTGTACATGACGTACAGCCAGCTGACTACTCTGGTAATACCTTACCTTCTTAAACAGGAGGAGTAGAAACTCGTCGCCGTGTGTTTACGGATAGGGTAAACAGGGTTGATGATTTATGCTGCAGTTCTTACCAACACTAACTGTATGTTTTTAGGTTGGCTTTATGCGGAATGTGATGTCGAGTGATCAGCTTAAGGAAGATCGGATGGCTTTAGAAAACTTGCTGGCGAACTTACCCCAGAACAAACCAGGGAAGAGCAGCAGCCTTGAAATGACTCCTTATAATACCCCACAGCTTTCCCCTGCAACTACTCCGGCTAACAAAAAAAATCGATTACCAATAGGTAAGGAGAGCAAGCAGACTCCTTCCCTGATGTCTGATACCTTGATACATTTTCTGTGCCATCTGTTCAGTCATCTCTTGGGGCTGCTCTGTGACTACACCTTCAGTTCCTACTTTTTCCTTTCCAATGCAAGTACGTGAGCTTCAGCGCTCTGGATTGAACTTGGGAAAAACCGCTGGGGTGGTTGGCAGCCACACTAGTGAGCACGGTGTGTACTAAAGTGTGAAGATGGGAAGCAGGTCTGGGAGGGAGGATTGCTGAGGAAGGTGGTAAGATGGAAGCAATCACATTTCGTTAGTGGGATAGAATAAGTTTAAAACTTTTCTGTCTCAGGAGGATGAAAAAGCAAGAGCAGCACTTTTAAGAGTACGTGCTGAGAAGAGAACCTTTCTCCTTTCTCCATTATTTGCCCAGGCTCATTCCAACTGTTAGTATGGTGCAATGCAATTTTATGTTTGTTGGGTTTTTGTCCTCTTTTTGAATAGGATTTCTGGGTCTTAAGTTCTCCATTTCAATAATACTTTCTCTTAAAATAGGAAGTGTTGTGCTCTTCTTCACTGTATATTTACATATATAACCATGTGGGATATTTTTATTGGAGAGATTTGGTGTTAGCATGTTACAGGATGAAACGTGTAGAGCCCTATAAGTGGCAAAACCCCCCCAAAACCATCCCCAAAACAAATTGCTCTAACTCTGCTTTGGAATGGTTCTGGTCTTACACCTATGCAGTAGTGGCACAGCAGCGTTTATTTTATGGTATAAAATAGCTTTTGCTCAAAGTTTTTATTTCTTTTGTTTCATTTTAATGCTTTCGAAATCCAGGACAGCAATTGGCAGCCATTACTGCCTGGGATACTTCTGCTACCAATCTTTCAGCTCATATAACTCTAGTAACCCCTTTTGGTGGGTAATGCCCTCTTTCCATTCTTTTCTGTGAAACTTGTACTTACAAGTCATGACTTAAGCATGCCTTCGGTTTACTTTGGCGATCAGTTGCTTTTTCGGATTTCTTCATTGATTTCTGTACGAGACTCATTTCCCATGTACATGTAGTTTTTAAAAGCACGTGTGCCTTGGTGTGATAATCAGAATTTGGCTGTGACTTCTGCACACTTGCCTTGCTCTCCCCGGATCAGACAGAGAAATAACTGGCGTCATGCTGCCGTACTTAGAAATCTTAATTCCACGTGGGTGTTTTTCCTTCCACGGTGCCAAACGTGGGAATGTGAGGCTACTTGGAAGAATAATAGAGTCACAAAATAATCAACCTGATGTTGAATTGTGTGTCTGGGTATGAGACACCTGTTAGAATAAGGTTTCCCTGCTTTTTAGGAGAAAAAAACCTTCTAGATAAATTAGAGTTATAAACCACAGGAACGTAGACTTTTTTTGTTCTCATGTACTCCATTTATTATGGGTCTTTCTGTGGTTGGAATAAACGGAACTCATGCAGGCAAACACGACACAGTATACGTTGTTTCTCTAAACTTCTATGTTGAAAGTTTGCTCTTTCGCAGTTCAGCACTCAAATTTAACTAGTTCTACCTCTGAAAGTGTAAGACGACTTTTCATTTTTAAGTTTATTTAGTATGTGTTATTAATTCAAAACATTGCCATTTTGTATTTCCATCGTATTGTCTTGTCTTCCCCCTTAAACAAAGGAGAGCTTTCTCATGTGGATATGTCAAAATATTTTCTTAGCAACTCGCAGTAGAAGTAGATCGAATATTCTCATGGATCAGCACGGAGATCATGAAGGATCGTCCCAGGAGACTATTCCAGAAGTTCAGCCGGAAGAAGTGCTGGTGATTTCTTTGGGGACAGGCCCCCAGATTACTCCAGGAATGATGTCAGAAAACGAGGTATGTGAAAACTGTCACCTCTCGGATATTTTGAAAAGTGCAGCCTCTGTGTTCTGTAGTAGCAGAACAGTTGTGACACTATTTGTGGGCAATAAATGCAGAATGGGAATTAAAATCCTTATTTCATTTTACTGAACTTGGGGGTTGTAGCTTTCAAATTTCCCTTTTTAGATGTTTTTTTTCCCCTCACTTCGTATATCTGCAAGGTACCAAAAGCAGTATATTAAGGCAGGAAAAATGAACCTGGCAGATTTATGAAGAGGCTGTGTCATCTAGCACACTTAAGAGCAGACCTGGCTGTTGTTTCCGAGCCTGAAGAAGCTGGTTTGCTTCTCTCCATGCGTGCTCTGTCCTTTGGATGAAGTGCCCCAGGTGACTGACAGAACTGGAACGCCGATCCTGACGTTTCGGGCAGCTCAGACTTGGGGGGCAGAGGCCCAGCTCCTTGCGAGGGTGGAGCTGTGGTTGTGTTGCCCCAAACGCCTGCAAGCGTGGCGTGAGGCTGCGCAGCCCTTCCGCCGGCCGTGGCACAGCTGCTGCTTTCACCTCTGCAGCCTTCCTGGCAGTTTGGGTGATCTCCTTCTGCAGCCTCCTAACCTACAGCAGTCTGCTGGGGTGATGAGGGAGCTGGTGGCTCCGTTATTATCAGGACTTGCCTTATCTTCACGTCTTGGTTACCTACATTCCCTCCAAGCTCTAACTTTGGAGATGGCTGTCTCTTTTTTCCAACAGAATGTTAGAAATTTGATTGTGTCATTAACACGTAGGGAAGAAAATGCAAAAAAAGTGCGTGCAACGTTCTGTTTACTGTGTAATTATCTGAAAAATAGATGGTTTTAAGCAAGTCTTGTTTCTTTCCTCCACTCTCCAGGTCTTAAATATGCAGCTTGCAGATGGCGGACAAGGAGATGTCCCCGTTGATGAAAACAAACTCCATGGTAAACCTGATAAAACCTTGCGCTTTTCCCTCTGCAGTGATAATCTGGAAGGAATATCTGAAGGTGAAGGGCTACTTAAGTCTTGAAGAAGTTTCGTCCCTTTTTTTTTTTTTTTTTTTTTTTTTTTTTCCCATTTTGAAGACTGTGCTATTTGACCCTGAGAGCCATTCAGAGAAAAAAACTCTGGACCTAAATTTTGACCAGCAAAGGCATAACTGAGTCTGAGAATTAGGAATAAAAAAAAAAAATTTAAGAGAGAGAAAACGGATTTATTTTTTGTTTTCAAACTTAAATGTAGTACTAATTATTGAGACAGTCTAACCTAGACTTCTCAGATTTATTTTTTGTCATGTTTTAATATCTCAGAATAGTTTCTGGACTCTGGACAGTTCCTTTACATGAACCTCAGACACAACAAAGCACAGGTTGATTTGTGGGATTGAAGAGGTTTGTACAGATCACTCAGCACACATTATTTTGTGTCACTTCCATTATTGAGTTTTTGCTCGCTCTTTCCTCAAAAGAAGAAAACAAATTCATGGACAAATAAACTAATGGCAAAGCCTTTATTGACTTTTTAGTTGCGGTTAAGTATGGTAACAGTGAGATTCCAGCCATTTCTGGTAATATGTGTGTAGATTATTATAGTTATCATGGTACTCTAAACATGGGAAGTACAGGTCGTGGTGCTGGTTAAGTATCTGTAGGAAAAGGATCAAGAGTAGAGCAAATGCACATTTACTCCATCAAGTCAGCATCTTATATTGGAACTGCTACTTCATTTCTTTTCACCTTCCTAGTTAGTCGTGTCCTGGATAGTTAATGTTGCATATTTAGGAACTGTTGCTCAAATCTGATCCGCAGTGGAATGTGTTTTCACAGGCCCTTCCAATCGCTCCAACTCGGTGTCGTCTCTGGATTTGGAAGGGGAGTCGGTGTCGGAGCTGGGCGCGGGCCCCTCCGGCAGCAACGGGGTCGAGGCGCTGCAGCTGCTGGAGCACGAGCAAGGCAGGTGCAGATTCTCTCACATGAGTGCCTGGGGTGCTGTAGGTGCTGAAGCCAAAGTTCTGTGGAGAAAGATTGGAAAATTGACTAGTTCAGGAAAAAATAAGTAAAAGTTTTCCTTGTGCGATCATGCTTGCATTTATTTATGGCTTTGTTTTGTGGTTGTTTGCTTTTTTTTTTTTTTTCCTAGAAATACTTCTTGTAGTCCATTGTTAGGAAAAGGAAATCTCATGGAAATTTGAATCTTAAGTCCTTTATAGGAAACAGCTTGTAAAGTTTTGCTTGACAGGCCTTACTTTAAAACACTCTCTGACAGAATTAGAGGGTGAGTGGGTTGGTTGTTTTCCTATAATGTACTCTTACAGGTTTTTTTTCAATCAGAATTGGACAAGCCTTTGAAAAAATTGAGAACTTTTTTATTTTTATATAGCCACAACTCAGGATAACCTTGATGACAAGCTCCGTAAATTTGAAATCCGTGATATGATGGGGTTGACTGATGACAGAGATATATCAGAAACTGTGAGCGAAACTTGGAGTACAGATGTCTTGGGAAGTGACTTTGATCCAAATATTGATGAAGATCGTTTGCAAGAAATAGCAGGTAACTTGGTGGGACAGCTGGTATGTTAAGATGCTTCATGCTTGCTCTAAAATAGTGAGGCTGCAGAGCCCTCCTCCTCTCTTTCTAAATAAGTGTTTTCATTGATTAAACTGGAGCTTTTCTGTAGGAGGATTTTGTGTGCATGACCTGTATGCTATTTGGTTGCTCAGTTCTGTGTTTTCAACAGTGTCTTTCGTGAGTATTAAGGACACTTAAAATGTGTTCTCATTTTTCTCTCCTATTAGAGCTGCCTTCAGGAAGCCTGTATCTAGCTATACGCTTCGGCTTTACTTTTGCAGGTGCGGCTGCAGAGAACATGCTAGGCAGCTTGCTGTGTTTGCCAGGTTCAGGATCCGTGTTGCTTGATCCCTGCACAGGTTCAACCATATCAGAAACCACGAGTGAGGCGTGGAGCGTGGAGGTGTTACCAAGTGATTCAGGTCAGAATCGGGCAGGTTTTGCTTATCTTGTTAGTGGGAATCAGAACTCCTCCAGAGGCGTGTAATGCAGAACGGCAGCATCTTCTTCTCTTGCCTTGAGAAATGATTATCCTAGGGTTAAGTTAGTGTGTGTGATTATTGGAAGAACAAACTCTTCCTAGGCGGAGAGAAGATGGAAAGCATTGTGAGAGATTTACTGCTATTAAGAAACTCTTAAGGGTCAAAAAGGGAGAGAAGGTTTGCAAAGCAAACTTCTGTTGGCTTTCCTTCCCTGCGGGTTTAAGTAGGGCTGTCTGGGATCGTGGTTTACTTTGGTTAGTGAAGATATGACTGTGTACTCTGGTCTCATAAGAAATACTTAAACCAGTGAAAACTTGTTAGAATGCCCGTGCAGACAGAGCAGTGCTCTCTGTGCAGTCCTGCCTTCTGTCAGGGAGGAAACTTGCTGAAGGGTTGAGTTGGCTTAGAACTTAATACACGGCGTCAGCATCCCCCCCTGCCCTCTGTGTGTGGATATTAAGGGTGCGTGGCATGGAGTAATGATACTTTTTCTCTCTGCCCTTCACTGTCTCCCTTTTGTAGAGGCCCCAGACTTAAAACAGGAGGAACGACTACAAGAACTGGAAAGCTGTTCTGGGCTGGGCAGCACGTCTGATGACACGGATGTGAGGGAGGTCAGTTCACGACCCAGTACGCCCGGCCTCAGCGTTGTATCAGGTGTGTTTGGTTGCCTCTGGAAACACGCTGCTCCCTTAGCACCTCACCAGCATCTGCTTTGGTTGTGCAGCGTTTCACTCGTAACTCTCTGTACTCATTCTGGAATTTTCAAGGCGGTAATTCTTTGTTCATGTTACAGAAGAAATAAAAAAGGCAGCAGAGCATTGAACACTCTCTGCTACGGTAGCAATGGTCACCAGTGCAGTGTTGATTTGGAAGAAAACTCCCAACTTCCTTGCATTTAGTTTTATTATCGCAATGTTTTTATTTAAGTAAATCAGCACATGTCTACTTCAGTTCTTCCTTTTCTGAAAAGTATTTAACAGAACAAAGTGTCTTTCTGATGCCTGTTGTCAAAGCGTGTTCATGGTTACTTTAAACAGTCGAGCAGAAAAAAATGTTATTTAGGAGTATAGAAATTCATGATGTCTCTAGGTGCTGCTGTACGTTAGGACTTGAGTATTACATTGGTCACCAAATGCTTTAACAGCTTCGGGATTTTGCTGCCTTTTTCTCTGAAATTCAGACTGTTACAGATGCTTCTTTTGTTATGTGTAAGGTATTAGTGCGACATCTGAAGATATTCCTAATAAGATTGAGGATCTCCGGTCAGAATGTAGCTCTGACTTTGGGGGAAAAGACTCCGTGACAAGTCCTGACATGGATGAAACGGCCCACGGTGAGTGAGTGAGTGACCTGTAAATGAGAATTAGACTCTCCAGTAACTGAAGTCTCACAAATGACATTTGTAGAACCTTAAATTTTACCATTTCTCCCAGTTTCAAAGTTCTGGTGGCTGAGCTTAACATTTTCCTTATTTGCTAGCCCTGTGTTTGTTTGACAAAGAGACTCCAGTACTTTGTAGTACTGGAGCTTGGGTACTAGAGCTGAGATCCCTTCTCCTGACTCAGGTTACACCGACTGTGCTCTTGCATTCTGGAATTGGTCTGCTCCTCAGGATTTCCCCATTTTCGTGATGTCATTCTTTTTTTCAGTGTACTCCAGAGGTCTTTCTGTATAAGAATATCTTTTAAAACATTTTGCAATGTAAGTTTCGTAAACTTCTGTTGCTGAGGGCTGTTTTTCCAGTGTTCCTTATGGTGTAGGTAATTCCTGGTACAGCACTAACATTTTTTTTTTCTGTATTTCAGGAGCCAGTCAGTTGACATCTCCTCCTTCTCAGACAGACTCTTTGCTTGCATTGTTTGACCCTCTGTCATCTAATGAGGGTGAGTTGTAAAGGATAAGCAGTTTTAAAAAATAGGCATTTTCAGTGCTTCTGTGTTAGTACCTCTAATTTGGAAGAATCTTGAAAGCAATGCGTGTGCCTTCTTTTATGCTTATGGCTGCAGGTGTCTCGGCTGTAGTAAGGCCTAAAGTACACTACGCCAGACCCTCGCACCCGCCGCCGGACCCACCGATCCTGGAGGGGGCTATGGGAGGTAACGAGGCCCGGTTACCCAACTTCGGCTCTCACGCTTTGATCCCGACGGATTTGGAAGCGTTCAAGCAGAGACACTCCTACCCCGAGAGGCTGGTGCGCAGCAGGAGCTCGGACATCGTGTCCTCGGTTCGGAGACCCATGAGTGACCCGGGGTGGAACAGGCGGCTTGGGAATGAGGAGAGGGAGCTCCCCATGCCGACCCCCGGCACCGGGGCAGCTGTGCTGGTGGCTGCATCCCAGTCGTCGTCTTCGTCTCCCAGTAAAGACTCCTCCAGGGGAGAGGTAAGGCTTGTATTTATCTTTTTATTTTTCCTAGCCTGCACGCTTTAATCACGCATCGAATGCCAGAAAGCTGGTATTAAATGTGTTTAGCCAAGAAATTACAGTGCACTTTTGTTACCTTTTAAATGTTGGCCAATAATGTTTTACAAGCTAAAGCTACAGATGTTCAGAGTGGCTTAAATGAATCTGGCGTCTGTTAAATTGACTGGATGAGCTTTACTTAATTTAGTGGGACTTCAGAAATACGTTTGTTGCAGGGTTTAAATTTAAAACACTGCCGCACCCTGAAAAGTAATTTTCTTTAAAGAAGTAAGTGAAACCTGAGTTTCTTCATGTCTTTGGTTTTGCATCTGTAGGCTGCCCTCTTCAGGAGGGATATTTCTAATGAAATCTGCTCTGGCTCTCTGTGCTCTGCCGTAGTTCTGGCTTTACAGTCGATGTAGCATAACCCAGTGTTGAGGAGAAATTTTGTCTTTACGCTCGGTGTGGTAGATGCTCAGATGTAGACTCTGTCCTTGTACAGATTGAAGAACGAAAAGACAGTGATGATGAGAAGTCTGACAGAAACAAGCCCTGGTGGAAGAAGCGTTTTGTGTCTGCCATGCCCAGAGGTAGGATCATGTCTGTCAGGTTTTGGAACTTTGGTAAGAGTACACGCTGCCTGTGTTATATCTTTAGTTGCTTTTATGGAAAGTTTTTACGGTTGGGCTTTGAAAAGCTGACCAGAGTGACGTAGAGTTGTTACAGAGTAAGAACTGTCCTGTTTAATTTTGATAAATAAAGCGTTCTTATTTATAAAATTGCAAGTGTTGCAGTAAAGAGAGAATTCTTGAAATACAAAGTATGCAATACCTGTGAAGAGGTGTGTAAGCTGAAAGGAATTTGGTCGGGCATTGCGTTATCTGAATCATCCGGTAACGTTGGAAGCCTTCTGTGAGGCCGCTCACTCCGTAGCTGTGGTAAGAACTCCATTGCCACTCCCCTGAGAGTGAGCCTGGGCCCTCTGTGGGTGGCTTTGGGTGACTTAGCTCTTGCCACACTGGCAAGTGGAAATTAGACTTTGGCTATCGTAAATAATTACCTTGTTTGAGGTAATATTTGGCTTTCATGCAGTGAATGATGACAACTGAGGATGGAACAATGTGTGCAATATTAAATATTCCTGGCTTTTAAAAAAAGTTAGAAAAGAACCAATGCAATCCTTGCAGGCTCTGTGTGACTTGAGATAACTTTACAGTATTCTAACACCCCTTTGTTTGCTGTCCCGTTTCACAATGTGCTGGCTTTGCATCTTCTCCCTAAACTTACTAGCGGGGACGAGTTGCCGGAAAAGATTGATGTCGTTGTGATGCTATTTGAGTTAGGGCTGTTGACCGAACTGAAGAGTAAATAAATACGTAAATAAAAATGGGAGGCTACCTGACTCCCTTGGCTAGTAGTTGCCTCAAGCGTGCTGTACCTGGAAGGCAAAGCTCTTCTGCCTGGCTCACGGTAGCCTGTCTGTTCAATGACAGTCCAGTTCCGTCCGCCCCACAGAGCGACTTACGCTTTTATTGATGTTTATTTGATGACAAACTTCTGCATTAGCCACTTCCTTAAAGTTTCTTCAATCTGGCCGTTATCTCAGAACAGCCTTTGATAAGGTGCCTTGCTTTTTCAGCTCCTATTCCATTTAGGAAGAAAGAAAAACAAGAAAAGGACAAAGACGACATGGTGCCTGACAGATACTCAACGCTTCAAGGTATGTGAGTAATGACAGTCTTTTCCTCTCCTAACGTGCCCTCTTGAGCTCCAGAGTGCCACCAGGAATCCCTTACAGAAAGGGGCACGCTGTTGTAGTTAACGCTCACGGTGTTCAGGACTGGCTTTCTGGATAAGAAAGTGAATAAAGACTTTTTAGCTTGAAGACTGTTTTTAAGTTGTCATGCTTCTGTTAATATGTATAGTATGGTCTTCACTCTTTTTTTTTTTTTTTTTTTTTTTTTGTCATAGCCGGGCTGTAAGGATAGCTGCAGACACGTTCCTGTAATAATTACTTAAGTGCTAAATTAAACACCCAGGTGGAAATCATGTTTAGCTTTCTGTTTGCCTAATCTTTTCTAGAAGTCTTCAAATACACAAGAACCAATTGTGTATACAGTATAAATATGCTAAGGATCTGGCTTTATTTGTTCACTTTCATTGTACTTTCCTTTCTGCTTTTGCTTCAGACTTTATAAGTATGTTTGAATTGTGGCTACGTGGAGCACAAGCAGCTATTGTTTGTCGTGGCTTAAAACAGAGTCCAGATGTGGAGTTTCGGTATTTGCGTTCAGTTGGCAGAGCACAGGATTAACTCCTGTTGTGTTCAATGGTCTTTTCAGACGATCCCAGCCCGAGGCTCAGCGCGCAGGCACAAGCTGCAGAGGACATTCTGGACAAGTACAGGAATGCAATTAAGAGAACCAGTCCGAGTGAAGGAGCCATAGTAAACTATGACGGTGCGGGTGAGGACCTGGCTTTTATAATCATCACCAGCATAGTTTCTCCTCCTTAAAACCACTTCAGTCTTCTAGAGCAGTGCTAGTACTAACAGCTGAACAATTTGAGCCCTAAACCAGGAACATTTCATCAAATATTCTGTGAGTCAGTCGCTCAGAGACTGGGAATTAAATCGGTATTCCCAATATTCTTTCACACTGCCACTGAAGCAGCTGTTTGTGAATAGCGCAGCTCTTACCGGCTTTGGTTTGTGTTTCATGCATGCTGAAGAAGTGTACTGCCTTCCAAAACTGATGAGATTTCTTCTTAGTGACTTGCAGACTGTATATTTTCAATACACTTTTTTCCACTTATTCAGAACAAGTTGGTTTGTTTGCTCTCTGCGTTCCCCCCTTCCTGACCTTAGAGTAACAGGAAGAAAATAGAGAATATTAAGTCCAGCTGCTTCTTCTGACTCCTCTCTTCAAGTGTAATGTTGTTTTTTTCATTTCCATAGAAGCTATTGGGGATGGTGAGAGTATGCATGACTCTCCGCGTGACGAGGCTTTGCAGAACATGTCTGCAGATGATCTCCCAGACTCTGCGAGTCAAGTAGCACAGCCACAGAGTTCTGCTTTCTCCTACAGGTAAATACGTTTGCAGGTTCAGTCTTACCCACACAGTAGAATTAAAAGCTGAAGTCACGTGATCGGTTCCTGCAAAAATCTTAATATGGGTCGGTTGTAAATTTTTACATGCTTTTCGTTTTAAGCATCTCAAACTGTCATATTTCCACTGATGAAGGGGGCATGTTGTAACCAGAAACAGAGCAATTCAGCGTTCAGGAGAATTCCTTTAAAACTGGTCTGGGGGCTGGATCAAAACAACTGATATTCTAAAGTCTTGATAACATTGGTATATTAAAATTGTGTTAATTAACTTTTAGGCAGTATTTAAAAAAAAAAAACCAAAAGACTGGTTATTGAAGAAGCAGACCTTACAGCAACTTTATTAAGAAAACATTTTTCCTCTTTAAGGGATGCAAAGAAGAAATTGAGATTGGCTCTTTGTTCAGCAGATTCTGTTGCCTTCCCGATGTTGACACATTCAACAAGGAATGGTCTGCCGGACCACATGGACCCCGAGGGTAAATGTTCTTCATACATACAGATATTTTGCACTGTGTGTGTTTCTTCCTCTCGCCCACCTAACGGCACTTGTGCTGCACCATTTATGGCAGCTTCTGCTTGGCACAGTTACAGAAAGCATGGGACACCTTTCCCCCCACCCCTCCGCAGTGTTTTCTTTCTTACTCCACGAACAAACCTGCCCAATACATCTGTAATGAAGTATCTCAGCTACAGTGCAGGTCGAGTCTGAAGCCGTGGAATAGACTCCTGAAATGCCTGTACCGTTGGGAACTGTGTTACAGTACTAACAGAGTAACGAGAGTGATTTACTGACTCCACTGACGTAGTTTGTGTGTCTCGTGTTTGCATCCCTCCGTTCATTCCTGGTTCATTTTCAGACACGTGAGTTTGTCACCTTGTCACCTTCTCTGGTCCTCTTCATGTTTCAGAATGGTTCTAAATACTAAATAAGCTAGTGATATGAAAACTTATCCCTTGATATCTGGAAAATTCAAAAAGACTTACTAAATTGTTTTTACAACCACATTTATTGCCCAACGTCCAGGAGTTTTGTTGTGAACTGTTACGTGTTTCCCATATTCAAAAACTAGTTTTCTTTTCGTCATGCCTACATTTCTTTTCCTTAATCGTTTTCCTTTGTTCTTTATTAGATAATGAAATTGTGTGCTTCTTGAAAGTTCAGCTAGCTGAAGCTATTAACCTCCAAGACAAGAACTTGATGGCCCAGCTGCAGGAGACAATGCGCTGTGTAAGCCGCTTTGATAACAGGACCTGTCGAAAGCTGCTGGCATCTATTGCAGAGGACTACAGGTAGCTTGTTCAGTATATTATTATTATTAATGGCTTTCCAAATGCATATATTTATTCACTGGCAGATTGAGAAGATCCCTTTTGGTTTAAATCGTACTTTACCAGATCAGGTTATTACATCTCTGCTTCCCCGCAGAATGATGAAATTGTCTCACCTATCTGCAAATGGCTTAAAAAAGCTTGGACCTTAAGTCACTCCAGATAGTAATAAACTCGGGTGAAGTCAATTTGTGGCTGATGTTCAGCTCTAACACACAAGAGATGCTGCTGTTTGGGATTTGGTTTAGTCTAGCGTTCTGGAGCGCTGCAAGGGCAGTGAATGCAGGCGGAGAAATCTGTATGAGATGGGACTTGCTAATTCAGGCATTATCTTTGTTTTAAAATGGAAGATTCCTCTTGCACTACAAACTCAACAGTTTGCAAAGCTGTTATCCTCTATCTTTATTATGGATCTAATGTAGAGCACTCTTTATTTTAGGAAGAGAGCTCCATATATTGCTTATTTAACTCGATGTCGCCAAGGCCTGCAGACGACACAAGCACACTTGGAAAGGCTGTTGCAGAGAGTGCTGCGAGATAAAGAAGTGGCCAACAGATACTTCACTACAGTGTGTGTGAGGTTACTGCTAGAGAGCAAAGAGAAGAAAATAAGGGAGTTTATTCAAGGTAAGTTTAATGCAGACTGTGGAATATTCCTTCACTCTGTATTTAGATGGGGGCTCGGGTTAACGTTTTAAAATACAGCTTCTGATCTGAGAAGATTATTAAAATGGTTTTTAATTTCAGCTGGTAAATTAATGTCTCAAATAGACAGATTACTGTGATTTAACAGTATTTTGTGGCAGCTAAACCATGGTCTGCATGTTTCATGGGCTAAGAGAATTAAGGTAATTTGCCTCGCTTGGCCTAAAAAGTTACGTTAAACCGTGTTATCTAGCATCTGCCCCATGGAAGAAGCTTTCATGCTGCTAGTTATTTTAGATCGACTGATAAATGATAAGTTGCAGCATTCAGTCCTCGGTACAGAGCCTGTGGCAGCACCTTAGAAGATACGGGGGATAGAGGTAGTATGAACCAAATCAAAGATTCAGAACTGTCACAGCACAAGGGATAACGGCACCGGGAAGGCAACTGTCTCAGGGTCACTTAAAGCAAACGTGTTTCTAAGTTCTCCATGCACACACGTGACTTAATGCAGTACACAGGAAATTTGGAGTCAGTTTTTGCTCCTGGAGCACGTAGTGCTGCGTACTAAATGTGCCCGAATAGGCTGGAATTAATATTAGAACTGATACGTACTGGGATTAGAGTTCTGGTAAGAAGGTTCAGTGACCCAGGAAGGAGTTAAAGCCCTTTCGTGGGACAGAGAGCGCTATTTCTGGATGGTCTAAAGGAGCAGTTGGCAGCTGTGGCACCGGGGCTGCTGGCAGGTGTGAGTGGCAGTTGTCTCCTGGCGCAGGCTGCTATAAATACGAGGCGGGTGCACGGCCGGTGGTTTGGTCACGCTGCATTACCCTGCCCGCGTCACTCCTCCTGCATTTGGTAGATAAATACGAATGTTGTGACTGTGCATGCTTAATAAGGGCAGGGTAGTGGTACACGGGGGTTTTCTGATCCCTCCTGTGCTGCCCCCCACCCTCTCAGGCTCTGGCGGCCGCCTGCTGCAGGGGCTGCTCTGGGTGTTATCTCTGGGGGCGGCTGGAAAGGCGGCGGCGGAGCTGGTACTGCGGCGGCAGCGATGAACACAGTAACAAGTGGGGTGTTTTGACCATATGTGTTATTTCCCTTATTGGGGTTTGGGCAAAACAGAGTCTCGGTGCTGCCTGGCAAGAAGCCTGAAGGTTTTTCTGGAAAGAGGAGCCCAGAATCTATCAGAAATTTTTTTTTTTTTTTTTTTTTTTTTTTTTTTTTTTTTTTTTTACTTACCTGAATGTTCTCTCTCTCTTTACTTTCTATCAGATTTCCAGAAACTCACGGCAGCAGATGATAAAACAGCCCAAGTTGAGGATTTTCTTCAGTTCCTGTACGGGGCTATGGCTCAGGATGCCATATGGCAGAACGCCAGCGAAGAACAGCTCCAGGATGCACAATTAGCCATAGAACGCAGTGTGATGAATCGTATTTTCAAACTGGCGTTCTACCCTAATCAGGATGGAGATATTTTGCGTGACCAGTAAGTTGATGTAGTTTGAAGTTCCTGGTTTCTCTTTTTGCAGTTGGTGCAGATGGAAGCTGTGCGGTCTTCACGTGACAGATTTGACCAAGCTAGCCGTGCCGTACAAACTCACGTTTTCTTTCAGAACGCTTTGTAACAGCACAAGGAAGTGCTTTGGCATCGTGTACGGAAGTTTGTGTCTGCAACAAACTGTTAGGACGGAGTAATCGTACGTGTAATGACTTGGGACACAGACTTTCAGGTCTGCAAGTGTGTATGCTGAGAGAGTGATGGAAATCCGCTTCGGGACTCCTCCCGTTGTCTGTTTTGGCACACTACTTTCCATGTGTTTGGGGATTTGGGGTTTTTGTGGTTCAGAACGTGCTGTTTGAGTGCTCTCCTGGCTGTGCAGTTGGACGTGACTCTGTGGCAAACTCCTCTGTGTCTCCTGCTGGCCTCCTGCCCCTTAGCTGCAGGTCCATCACCATTGTCTGCGTTCCTGAAGAGCTCTCCTGTAGTGCCAGACTGCAAACTGGTGGAAACCCCAGGGGGCTCCAGCCCGCCTGCTGCCTGCTTTTCACTCCTGGGTTTTGTGTTCGTTTCCAGGGTCCTTCACGAGCACATACAGAGGTTATCGAAAGTAGTGACTGCAAACCACAAAGCACTTCAGATACCTGAGGTAACAGCCTCTCCTTTCCTTCAGATCTGTACGTGTGTTGGGGTGCTTGTGTTTGGGGTGGGGAGGGGGGCTGCTTTGTTTTGCACTGAGAAGCATTGCTCTTCTATCTGACAGCTGAAATACCCTGCAGGAGAAATGCACTGTACCCACGAGTGATCCTTCCAGATCTGTTTTTTTCTGATTTAGCCACCCCTCCCCTGATAGGGAGATTTAAGAACTAATACTACACTGCACTAAGATGCAATAACTTTCTGATCATTTGTTTCGGAAGACAAGATTTGAATCCTTTATGCTTCTAACGTGATTCATACGCCGTAGCTGCGCTTTGCAGCTGTCAGGTTAACTTTCTGAACCAGCCAGAATGAACGGAACCTTGCAGACCTGTGAATCTGCCCAGTGCTCTCACTTTTCTCATGGTTAATAGGATAACTGGAAGGTTGGGAGGCTTAAGGCGTCTGTCAGAGGCTGGACGTTTGCAGCCTTCCTCCTTCTCCCTTCAGCACTTGCACTGCATGACTCAAAATGGTGAGTGTTCACAGAGCTGCTGATCAGGAGGGCTGAGACCTCCAGCTCTACTGTCATTTGCAACGGTGTGCCAGAGAAGGGGGGAAGAAACACAGGCTCATTGTGTCAGCTGCACCTTAGAGTGCTGCCTCCTTGTAGTTTTTCATTATAACACAGCAAGAAGCCACCTTCGTCGTGTGTGTAATGTAACCGTCTTGACTTAAAGCTTCCCGTTTCTCTGGAGCCTTGCTCCTGCTTGTGAGGCTCTGGTACTTCGGATTCTCTGTGGTGCACAGTAGTAGCTTGGACAAACAAGAACTGGCAGCATGTTGTTTTTTTTTTCCTAGGTATATCTCCGGGAGGCACCATGGCCATCTGCACAGTCTGAAATCCGCACAATAAGCGCTTACAAAACCCCCCGAGACAAAGTACAGTGCATCCTGCGAATGTGCTCAACCATCATGAACCTGCTTAGTCTGGCAAATGAAGATTCAGTACCTGGGGCAGATGATTTTGTTCCTGTTCTGGTCTTTGTCCTCATAAAGGTGAGTTCTTTTGCGAAGATCACGAGCCCCAGCTGATTCTTGTAATAAATGAGCAAAGTTTAGGAAGAAAAATAACGCATTTGGGTACCTGGGAGCATGCTAGGCTCAAACCCAGATCTAATTCAGCAGGTTTGAAATAGAAACATCAGAAATACGGTCACAGTTACGGGTTTTGAATCCAAGCAAAACTTTGCCTTTGGAACCCAGGGAGTTGGGGTGCAGATGTTGTGTGTGGAGTGGGGGGTTTTGAGGTGCATCCACCACCTGTCATCTGTGCCTGCTTCCCGCTGTCCCAGCACCGAGAGCCACACTAGGACTGGCTGGCACTGTGCTGCTGACCTTTTATGACATGTGAGCCTTCGGAGAACGCTCTGGCCTGTGTAAGAGGCGAAAACAACAGGCGTTTCCATGGCTCGAAACCCCCGATGACTTTTATGGATCTTGCCAGCGTTACCCTCCTTTCTCTCGGCCCGCTAATCGTTTCCCCTTGTTGGAAAGATGCTCCTTTCCTCGGGTCTGGTGCCTTTCTGAGTGTGCGAAGGGGGGTGGTCTGGATCAACAGTCAGTTCCCTACCGATCCGTCACATTACCACGTGCCGGGGACGCGTGAGGGGCCCTGCACAAATAGAATTGTGTTTTTCTGTTCTGTATCTTGCAATGTGTTATGTTTAGCTTTGCAAACAAGCTGTGAGTATCTCTTTCTTCTTTAACCCTCAGGCAAATCCACCTTGCTTGCTGTCCACTGTTCAGTACATTAGTAGTTTCTATGCCAACTGTTTATCTGGAGAAGAATCATACTGGTGGATGCAGTTCACAGCAGCAGTTGAATTCATTAAAACTATTGATGATCGCAAGTAACTCAAACAGCACACGTGTGGGCAGACTGTTAGCAGAAGAAGAGTCTGAAAGAATGTACAACAGCTGCAAAAGCTGAAGAAGAGACTTTCCTTGTATAATACTGTACAGAATTGAGGCATTTTAAAACACACCTTTACTAATCAAATTTAATTTAACAGATTTTTCCCTCTTCTCTTTCGGTTGCGATTTTTCTCCCCTGTAGACACTGGCACTGCAAAAGGGACCACAGTTTTCAGGTATTTTGGAATCTCAAAACATGCAGAAAATTCTTGACGCTTTTCCCACCACCCCTCTTCCTGAATTCTTGCTCACGTCAATAATTCACCTCCTTTAATTTCTAATAGAAAACCGAAACAAGAAGAATCAGGGCAACCACTTAGTATACTTTCTAGCTTAATACACCTTTTCTTAATAAACACCAGCCACACTGAAAGTTTGTAGTAGCTGACATTAGTTATCAGTTCTATTTCACCTAAACCCAAAATCTGAGAGGACAGTGTAAATATTATATAACTATATTTAATGCATTGCAATTCTCTTCGGACTCCTTACCCTTTGAATAAACAAGCAAAAGCCTCTCTGACCTCTAACAGGTTGTGACATACTGTGTTGTGGTAATGAAAGGACTTCCTCGAAAGGCTAAGATGAAAAAAGGGCAAACTGAACTATTTATTAAAATGTAATTAAAAATTACTGAAATTTCTAAAACTGGAATTTATAATAGGGCTTATTAGGTAGCTAAACACTTTTTGGCTAGGGCATTAGGGTGTTACAAAGGTTTGGATATATAGAGGAGAGGGACTGTAAGTTACAATAGATAAGTCTAATATAAAGAAGAAGAAATAAAATACCTTACTGTAATATTTTTTCTGAGCTATTGTGTATACTGTACAAACCCCAAACAGAGAACCTTAACAGAACCTTGGACTGTAATATATATTTTGATTAGTGACATTAAATACATATGCCAGGGGTTTCAGTGAATGTTTTTACTAAATGTTCTTCGTGTTGTCTGCTATGCAGCAGTGCAAGTTTTACTGTTCATATAAAATATTTTCAAAGATAACACTGTTCTTTATGAAACATATCATGCCATCAGTTCAGGGTGTTTTATAGATTTCTCACCCCACCTTTACCTTAAACTGACAGTTACCAATTTAAAGAAGTTTTTATGCACAACACCACATGGATTTTTCATGAGTGAAATGGTCTGAGTTAACGGCCGGTGGTTGTTACCTGTATATAAGCCCTCGCTGTTCTTTTTTAGCTAGAATTACAGTGAAAAAGGACAGCGAGCATTTGACTTTTTCATGTCAGTATTATTTCTTGCTCTTCCCAGAGTGTTCATCGCACTTCTGACCGGGGGATGTGTTAAGACTTGGTGTCTGTGAGTGGTAAAGAAAACAAAATCTTTCCTGCATTCTTTTCAAAATAAGATTGAATTTTTTTTTTTTTTGAGGGGGGGGTGCATTTTGATTAAAACCTGTAAGCAACTAGTACTTGGGAAAATCATTTGGTTAATTGAAATTAGAGCGATTTATGTAAAGTATCAAGCGCTTGATTTGGCTGTGCTACTTGTCAAGGCATAATTAAAGAAGCTTACTTTCTAGAACTCTAATACGTAACTCAGTATAGCATTTTTGCCAAACTAATTACAGGTGAGTGGGTGGGATGGTAACTTTTTTTTTTTTTAATTATTTATAGTCTTTCTCCTCTATTAGAGACTTGATTGTGTGGAGGAGCAATACTCAGTAGAAACAGAATTCTTCTGATCTGCCTTACTGTGGTAACTCAGTCTGTGTAGCATTGCAATATTCTAGTTATTTAGCCTTGATGGGTTTTTTGGTGCTGAACACGTAACTTAATATTGCAAGCACAGCCCTGACCAATAACACTCAGCAGCGAAGCACAAATATGCCCTTGAAGATATGGCCAGATCATATCTAAAAGCAATATAAATTTATTTATATTGAAGTGTCCTGTAATATTTAATTATTACTTGAATATCTGAGATGTTAAGACCGATGTGTGAAAGCACTTTTAGTCCTGCAGTTCGGGTTTTAGTCGAGGAGGGTGTTTGTACAATCCTTTAAAAAGGCACAAAGACACTCGAGGATTACCCTGCGTGTTGCTTCTGTTTGCAGACTTGCCAAGGAGGGTTTGATCAGCACCATCAGGTCTTTCAGATTTGCTCTCCTTTATGGAAGGGGCAAGAACCATTTCCTTCACAGTTTTTATTACTTTGTTTTTCTGCCTAGAAAAATACTTTAAAAAACTGGAGTTTGTTGGTTTGATGGTTTTTTTTTTTTAACTGTTACTGTTTAGTTATTTTAAAACCAGTGTTTCATTGAGCCCCAGATGAGCTGAGAGTTTTCATAGCAAGATGGTCCTTTGGTTGTTTGTTTGTTTGTTTTTTTCCAACCTACTCTGAAAGTCCTTTATATAGTTTCGATAGGTGTAGATAGAGAATTAGGCTTTCCAAAGACTTAAAAATCCTTCCTGTAATGTCCTCTTACTGTTTTCCCCTGGTGTCCCGTAACGTTTTGTTTTAAAATGATAAGTTGCGTGTATAGGAAGTGATGTTGTTAGGTTTTGGTGTGCAATAGTAAAGGTGAAGAGACAGCGAGTGCGTAAAGGACCAAAAGTGACAGAAGTGCTGCCGCAAGGCGCCGGCCAACCCCTCCCTGCTGCTGCGAGCTTGGGCGCTGTCTGTTAGATGGCTTGGGCCGCTGAAGGGTGACGGCGGGTTCTGGGGAAGGGGAGGGGGGTCACTGGCAGCCGAGGGCAGCCTCGAGCTCCCGGAGGAGCCCTGACGTGGCCGGGGCTCCCCTGTTCCAGAGTGGGGGTTCCTTTGGGTGCAGGAGTGAGAGGGAAGGGCTGGGCTCCTTCGCCCCTAGGAGAGGCCTTTTTGCTCCTGCCCCTCAGTGAGATTCCCCTTTTTAGAGCTTTTATAAATCCTCTTTGAGGAGAATGCGAACGTGTGTGGCCTGTTAAGTATTTCAGTTTAAATGTTTTTGTTTTGAAGACCTTCTACTACCAAATGCTGAATGTAACTGCCATAAATTTCAGGAAAAAAAAGCCACGAACGTGATCCTGTCGGTGAGTTTCTGGTGAGCGCGGTGTTGGTTCGTGTCGCTCGAAAGCGTCCATGTTC